CGATGTACCACTCTCAATAGCTTTTATGATGGTTAATTTCTTTTCAAGTGATATCTTGGTACGAGCGACTTTTTCTTTGGCACTTCCATTATCTTTTAACACTGGTTTTAATAATTTAAATCATGTTTTAAGGAATTTTCCTAATGTAGAGTTAAGAAATTTAGTTTTCAATAAGGCATCAAAAATTTATAAAAGCGAGCAGTATAAAAATAGAACGTGAATAAAAACACCCAATGTCGCTAAATTCTTTGTTTTGAATTGCGATCTGTGAGCTAGAGCTCACACAAAATTTTAATTAGTTTTGAAAATTATAATTTTGGAATTTTAGAATTAAAATTAAAAGTTCATTATAAGCATGGTATTTTTGATAGAATTTAATATTTTGGGACCAAAATTGGGTTCGTTATAGCGATAGTTCGCTAGTTTGAAAAGTGAAAAGTTCGTTATAACGATGGTAATTTTATTGGAATGGAATTGGGATTTTCGATGGGTTCGTTATAAGGGAAGGTTCGTTATATCCATGGTTCGTCTTAGCGGGGTTTTACTGTATATAGACTCATGGACAAAACTTAAATCTTTCTCAAGTTCCAGAAATCTTTCTTATCTCCACTCAAACATATTAGGGTGTCAAGCTTGTAAAGCTTGTTGATGGTGTCTGCTGAGGATGAGTAGAGCTCAGTTCCAGAAATGACATCTAGCTATCCTATCTGCAGAATAAATAAGGAGACGGAATACAGATAAGGCACAATTTGCAATATAGATATAAAATTATAAGGTAATAAGACCACACAAATCCAAATAAATAGTGTGTGACGGTTTGATAACAGCGTTGTTACCATCCTCAGATAAAAGTTCAAATGAGAAAAAATATCACAGCATGTACTTATATAGTATTACTATGGTGCTGGAAACAGTGTCCTTTGTAAGAGGTGTCCTCAAGGGAGAGTGCTCTCTCAAGGAGGTTCTACTGTTTCATTCCAAAATACACCATCAACTAGAGTCAAAGTGTAATTCACTGTTGAGTTGTTTTAAATATTCTTACACTAGGGCAATATGGGAATCTGAGTAAAAGCTCAAAATAACCTGCTGGCACCCTGGAAATCTTCCAGCTCACGTTGGAATTCCTGGAAATGAGCTAGCAGACTCTCTGGCAAAGGCTGGAGCTCTTGGCCTACCTGAAGCCAGAGAATCTACCACCCAAATAGACGAAAGAGACCTCTTCCGTACCATCAATGCCCAATGCCTGCAGGAATGGAAATCTAATTCTGCACATGACTGGTACAAAGCAGGAGGGACAAGCACCGGTTCAGTCCTCCCAAGAGAACCAGTCTTTGATTTCCAGACTTAAGTCTGGTCATCTACGGACAATGACTTTCCTGAATGGTTGCAAGGTTTTCCCACTATGTACTAAGTGCAATTCTCAACCTGCAACCCCAAAACACATCATTGACTGTATTGACTCATCCATTAATGGACTCTACTCTTCCCCGGCAGACACCATCAAAAGTCTCAAGCTTTACAAGCTTAACACCCTGATATGATTGAGTGGAGATAAGAAAGAAGAAGACCCTGGAAATGGTTCAATATCATACAAATTGGTATCAGGACAAAACAAAACTTTGTGGTAAATGGGGAGTGGGGTTAATTTTGGCTCGCCCAAACGTGTGTATTTTCCTCATTCACTACTTTTGTCTGAGGATGGTAACAACGGTGTTACCGAAATGTCACACACTATTTGTAGGCAGAAAAGTAGTGTCAACTTCAGTAAATTGAGGGAGGGAGACAGGATGACTGAACTTGACCACAGCTCCCTCCCCCACTTGACTATATTTAGCAGTGAGAGAGGCAGAAATACTCCCACAGCTAATTATGTGACAAAGAACTCTATTGGTATCTCCACCCTTGGCTGCTGCTGCTGCCACCGACCTAAAGTGGTGTTTTTTTCTTCTTCCATTCTGTCTCTCCCCGGGGATTGAACCGACTCTGTCTGCCACCATCCTATTTTAGAAACTGTTCTATCTTTACATCTCTCTGGAATCTGGGTGGGGTGGGTTAGAATTCACATCTCTTTGACCTCTTTCTTTCTTTTTCTCCCATCTCACCTTACATTGAGAATTTTTTCCCCTTTGTTTGTTGTTTTAATAGAATCTTTTACTTTTATTTATTTATTTTTCTTCCCACCTCACCTTACATTGAGAAGTTTTTTCTTATTTGTTTGTTTGTTGTTTCGACAGAATCTTTACTTTTATTGAATTTTTCCTCTTCCTCCTCCGCATTGTTGTAATATATGTTTTTTTGGCTGTTTGTTTAGTATTTGAAGGAATCAAAACTCTTTAATCCAAAACATCAACAACAAAATATTATCTTTGTTAGAGATACTTCAACCAGTTATGGAAGTCTTTGTTTTTAAGAATTATTTTCTGAGAGATTTAGTTCTCTTTTAAAATGTGATAAAAAAAATTCGAAATTCTTGTGGTTTATTATAGATGTGTACCAAGAGAAAAATTAGTTTTTTTTTAAAATATATAATAAATATATTCTCTCCTTGAAAAAAAAAGTTAATGAATTCTATTCAATATTCACTGTAGAGTGAGGAATTTGGTAACTTTTCTGTCTTTTTTCCTATCACCATTTATATATAAATTTTAATATATCCCTAGTACATGTGGTACAAGCCATGATAATCATGGCAGGTAGAAGTTGACCACTGCTTTTACTCTAAGTGCACTACATATCTATGGAAAAAAAGTGCCAAATGCGGGATTCAATCCCGGGTCATAGCAGTTAACAACCAACAGTTTAGACCACTTGTCCATCAACTTCCTTATCCTATCACCATGTAAAGGTATCAAGTCTGTGGATCTTGCGTTTGTTGGGGATTATATAATAGGGTTCATTGCTGCTGCTGCTGCCTTATAAGGTAGTTTGGAAGTGACATTCTGTGAACATGGTGGGGGAACTGCTCTCTAAAATCATTGTTCCTACATGACTGTCCATAGACAGAGTGACCTTCACTTAAGTCTGCTCCAAAAGTCTTGTTGTCTAGGGACACTAAGTCTGGAAATCAAACTTTCAGAGGAAGTGCACACAGTATATAAAAAACATGAGAACATTTGTCTGATGATGGTAACAACGTTGTTTCCGAAATGTCACACACTATTTATTTGGATTTGGTCTTATTACCTAGTGTTTATAATTATTTGTTTCTTTGTATATAAATATAGTCGGGTAAGCTTTCAATCCAAAAGACACTTCTTCATGGCCCATTTGTCAGTTTGGATTTGGCCTTGTTACTCTCAAGTTTCTATAATCTAAATTGTACCTTTTTTTAAAAAATTCTTTCAATTTTTTTCTCTCTTTTATCTCAGTGATTTGGAATTATTTTATGGTCAATCTTTTGGTAAATCTAGCCACATGTGATCAATATTATGATTTAAAAAAGTTTTCAATTTCTGTTCCTCTCTATAGAATTTCTTCTATTCCTCTCCTGTAGACGACATATTCTACCATCATCAATCTGTCTTAGAATCCATTAAGTAGATTAAGGTAAAGAGAGAAACCTGCATTCCCACTTTTGGCCCATTCTTTTAAAAAAGGGGAAAAAAATGTTTTGACAGCGGTAAAGATAAGAAGGTTGCTCCCACCTCTTTATCACTTGCCCCCTTCTCTTCTATCTCTCTACTTGGCCTGCCTTGGTTGGTTTTCTTTTTGATTACCTTGTGGTTGGTTGGTTGGCCTGTTTATTCACTTGATTTATTTCCAAGTCTCATCTTATTGTTATTGAGTTCTTTTTTTTTTTGCTTATCCCTAGTACACGTAGTACAGGCCATGATAATCATGGTGGGTAGTTAGCGACTGCTTTTACTGTAAGCGCACCACATGTCTACACATGTGAAAAGCAGTTCGACTTTGCACTTACAAATGTGCCAGAGCCCCGTTTGGTTACTTGCACTCGCTGGTGGGGTTGGACTTTTTCAAGAATCGGGGGCCATTGGAGCATTTTTCTTTTAAATAGAAAAAAAGTGTCCAATGCGGGAATCGAACCCAGGTCGTAGTGGTCGAAAACCAAACGGTTTAACCAGCCTTCCACCGACCCCCCCTTGATTGAGTTCTTTGAATGTACACAATGGTTGCGAATATGTAATGGTGTCCTCTAAGTGATAATTGTGACCTGCTTGCATTATATTGTATTCTTTAATACAACCCATTCCTAATTAAATGGGACTTATCACTTAGGAAAGCAAGACTAAGTCCAAATTACCTGTAGACCCAAATATCAGTAATCCCTAATTATCTTTAGCCCCAATTACTCTTAGTCCTATTTAACTGCAGTCCCCAATCAAACCCACACGTGGAATCCATACTTATTGTCTTCAATAAATGATAAAGTACAATTTGGATCATAGAGGTAACAAGACCAAGTCCAAATTAATTAAATGTCACAAACATTTTATTAATTTGGACTTGGAGTTGTTACCTTGTAGTGAGTGAAAAACTTGGATGAACTTAGAACTCGGAAGACCACCCAAAGTTGATGAAGCGACCACCCAAAGTTGGTGAATCACACCCAAACACAGAAGCTAGTGTTTCTTTCTTTTCCTGATCCCCCAATATAAATAAACAACAGGGATGATCCACCTGCTACTAATCACCATTTCCTCAGGCCTTCTTGTCACCATGTCTCTCACCAACCCATATGATTTATTTCTCATGTCTCACACTACTCTCTGCTGTTGTTGGCTAAATCTGAATGTATGTGCTGTTGTAGATCTGGCACAAGATCTGCTTCAAGTGCCAAGAATGTGGAATGACGCTCAACATGAAGACCTACAAGGGCTTCAATAAGCTCCCCTACTGCAATGCGTGAGTCTCATGGTTCATCATTCACAGTTGCTAAATTATCCTTTATTGATTAACTAGCCGAATGACCCGGGCAACGCCCGTGTTTTACCCGATTGAATGTTTTGATTCAAATACTATTTGTTACAATTATAAATTGTGGTCATGTGGCCTAGCGGTCATGGCATCTGCCCGGTAAGCGGAAGGTCGTGGGTTCGATTCCCATCCCTTGACACTTTTTTTATTTTATCCATTCTGACCAAAATCTATCCGTGAGCTTCACACAGTGAACTTCACACAGACAGAATAAGGCAATTATATAAGTAGATTATTTTCTTCATAACACTCACACAAAAGTGTACAAACTCCACATTAGGAGAGTAAAGGAATTTTGAAGGAGCAATCCATGGATTTGTATCTTACTAAAAAGATCCTCTCCATTTTTACACAAAGCCAGTCTTGTTGTGGGATTTCCCTCATTTCTATATAAATGATTATGCTAATGTAGGTTGACTTAATAATTATTTTGTCACATCCTTTATGGAAAATTATGCTTCTATTAAAAGACTTATGAATTCACCATTAGTGGTAGGTTAATAAATAAATGGATTTTAAGAGAAATACCATTTAGATATTTGAAAAGAACGGTACAGAATCATAAACATCTGCGTTTGTTCTGTTATCTATTTACAGTAAAACCCCTCTATAGTGAACCCCAATGGGACAGAGCTTTTGGTTCACTATAGCCACGGTTCACTATAGCCACGGTTTGGCTATTTTTTTTTTTACTTTTCAAAATTTTTAGACTGTATAATTAAAGGACAGCCATACACACAAGAAGAGACTGCCCCTTAATAGTGGTCACTTTGTATTAATTCCCATAATTGACCAATTTCCTTACATTAATACTGAATAATAATAGAAATCATTAGATGATAGGTTCTTTTTTACATTAACATACATGTACCTCTATGTCTAATTTAAAAAATAATGACAAATCCTAGGCAAAGTTTTATTAAATATATATTCAAAGATATAAAATGATTTTAAAACATCATTATCACATTATATAATACAATGTTTACTTGAAAAAATGGCTCTAACACCTTGTTGCTTCAAAGCATTCTTCAAGCATTGCACCATTCAAATAAAGTTAGTGTTTTTCTTCCATTTCATGTTTCCACATAATTCTTCAAGGTCTAGATTTCGTTTTTTAACCTGTCATGCAAAACATTGCTGACTTTAAAAATCACCATAGTTAATGGTATAAAAATAATGTTTGTTTCATCACGGGACCGTTTATTTGAACTTTTTTTTTTTTTAGCCCTAAAACGTACGATCGCGATCGCGGCAAAAGTTGAGGTTGACTCCTCTTTGTAACAATTTTTAATAGCTTTATATTTTATCTTTTATAATATAAAAGTTATATTCTCTTATTTTAATATGTTCTTAACATTTTGCCTGTGTTGTTTCACTTTGAAAAGTTCTGAAAATGACCCTTTTTTTTTTTAAGAAATAACACTTTTGTTTTTAAAATGCCTTTGTTTTCTTCATTTTGGAAGCCATTTGCATTTTTTATATTTCAAATTTAATGGATGCAAAGATATTATATTTAATAAAAAGTATAATGTGTAAAAATGTATACAACATACAGCAAAAATAAAGTGCAAAAATCAAAACAAACAATGCCGCTAAATTTATTGTTTTGAAATCGCGATCCGCGAGCTCTGAAATATGCTCAAAATTTTGTTTTAATTTTTTTTTTATTACAATTCTAAGTTCGTTATAAGCATAGTATTTTAAATAGATTTTATAATTTTGGGACCGAAAATAGGTTTGTTATAGGGGTAGTTCGCTATTCTAAAAATCGCAAAGTTCGTTATAATGATGGTATTTTCAATGGAATGGAATTGGGAATCGGCGTGGGTTCGTTATAAGGGAAGGTTCGTTATATCCAGGGTTCGTATTAGTGGGGTTTTACTGTATTTTTTACCTTGGTTCATCCTCAGTGCTACAGAAGTAGTCAAAATATTAGGTGTCGGGCACAAATATTTTTTAAACATCCATGGTAAGTTAATATTCTGATAGTGTAGACGCATGTTTAGATAAAATTAAATGGTGTGTATGTTTTTTTTAATATATAATTAACCTGTCTATAGCGCCTACCTCTCTATAGCGCCCGATTTTAAACATTAAAATGTAAACATTTTACATTAAAAGTGGCCTGTCTATAGCACCCTATTTTAGTGAGTCCCAAGAGGGGGCGCTTTAGACAGGTTTAACTGTATTTAGTATAACTTCACAAATCATCTGTTTTCTAACCCCTAGCCCCCAACCAAATAACTTACTTCAATAAATTATGATAAGGCACAATTTGGATTATAGATTATAAACACAAGGTAATAAGACCAAACCCAAATAAATAGTATGTGACATTTTGTTAACAATGTTGTTACCTAAACGTTACACACTATTTGTTCATTCGGATTTGGTCTTATAAAGTGTGTATTTGTGTTTATAAAGTATTATATTTATATATATTTGGAATTATATAGGTCATCTGTGATGTTTGTTCATGGTGTTAGAAAGTGTCTGATGCCATCAAACTGTCTCCCAGATAAACACTTCCTCCCTGATTATCTCACAGATTCCTTCAAGCTAAGATGGCTGCAGCCAAAACTCTCTCTCCTCCTTCCTCATCAAGCTTCACTTTGATAAATTCTATGTTACCTTTCATAAATGTCTACATACAAACCCCCCCCCCTCCCCCCATAGTTTTGCCCTTCTCCCCCCTAGCTTTATGTATTTAAGGTCAAAATTGTTTTTCTACCATTACTTACAGGAATCTGTATATAAGAGGAGAGCAGAGAAGAATACCTATAGCCAATGCATACAATATCAAAATAATTAAAGGTCTATATATACATATTTCCCATATAACTTTGATAAGGCACAATTTGGATTATAGATTATAAACACAAGGTAATAAGACCAAATCCAAATAAATAAATAGTGTGTGACGTTTCGGTAAAAGCGTTGTTACCATCTTCAGACAAAAGTACTGAATGAGAAATTTTACCACAGCATGTTTTAAATAGTTACTGTTATCAAGTGGATTACAGATTATAAACACAAGGTAATAAGACCAAATCCAAATAAATAAATAGTGTGCGACTTGATAACAGTAACTATTTAAAACATGCTGTGGTAAAATTTCTCATTCAGTACTTTTGTCTGAAGATAGTAACAACGCTGTTACCGAAACATCACACACTATTTATTTATTTGGATTTGGTCTTATTACCTTGTTCCCATATAACTTTGTAAATTTGAATATCTCTCTTACTCATTTTCCAACTCCATTTCTGTATCTCTCATTAGAATCTGTATACAGTTGAACCTCCATGAGAGGATACTCCCACTTGAAGACACCTCTCTCTACAAAGAACAGTTTTCATCACCAAAATTACCTTTCTTGCTATTTAGCAACTGTCCAGTAAAGGACACCTCGCCCTAAAGGACACTTTGATTCTGCAACAAATTGTTGTCCTTTCCAGAGAAGTTCTACTGTATAAGACTAAAAGTCTTAATATAGATATAAAGGTATAGATTGATATATTTAAGGTCCAAATATGATCCTGCCAATTTGTGAGACCAATTTTTTCAGCCATCACTCTAGGATGATGGGGAATATTTGGGAGTGTCACATCAGTGGTCAAACTTCAAAGTAGTTTCACCTGTTCTATCTAGTCTCCATATCCATGCAGCTTTTATATATTAGCTTGTTTCGTGTCTTTTATTTTATACATGGTGATTGTCTTTTTGTAAGTGCACAATAGGATATAGTTTTTAGCTTTGAGTAACAATCTAAAATTTTGCGAACAAAAATAATGCCTTGTATGTTAACTCGTTTGAACATCAAGTGTTATAGAAAAATCTTCAATATAAAATGGGGACAGATAGTGTAGCAAAGAAGTTTAGAGAAAATTTAATGATGAGTATAGGCTTCTAAATGAAGTACAGTAGCCAATCTCTCTCTAAAGAACAACACCTAGTTGCAGAGGGAAAGTATCCTTTAAGGAAAGGTATTTCTTCTTACCACAGATTTGCTAAATAGGCTCTGGTCTCTCATGGGAAACACTGGGAAATAATTTAAATATTTTGGATTTCCTCTTTTAATTCTGGTCTAGGTTGATTAATGTTCCCATGAAGTCTTGATTCTCTATTGAAGCTCATCCAGCCAATCTCGACCCTCTCACATTGGATTGTAAGTGCAAAGTTGAACTGATTTTCACATGTGTAGACATGTGGTGCACTTACAATGCATATTCACCATGATTATCATGGCCTGTACCACTTGTACTAGGGATAATAATAACATTGGATGCAAGGTATGTTTGTTTAGCACACACCATTTAGGCTTATCGATACTTCACATCTTGCAGCACCTACTCCAAAAATAACGCGAGAGGAAATAACAAGGTTTCTAAGTTGTGCAAGGAAAAAAAAAGGCCTTTCATAATTTGCCAGAGATAAGGAGAGGGAGTGAGATTAACATGTTCTATTGTTCCACACTGGTTGGTACTCTCTAGAGGGAAATATGTAATATTATATATCCTCTATGTGGATCCATCTCCTTCTTGTTATATAGTTGGAAGCCATCTGAGTTAAAGTCATTTAGTCAACATCTCTCTATTTAACTCTACTTTCTTCATTCTTAAACATTTCTTTTTAATCCCATATGAAAATAAGACCTAATCCAAAATTGATTAATTTAGGTCTTATTTTCTTGTTAGCTATAATCTATAATCCAAATTGTGCTTTTATCATTTAATCCAATATGTACCCTTTTGTACAGTAGAATGATAAAGCACAATTTAGATTATAGCTACAAGAAAATAAGACCTATTCCAAATAAATTAATAGTGTGTGATGTTTCAGTAACAATGATGATGTTACCGAAATGTCACACACTATTAATTTATTTGGATTAGGTCTTAATTTCAGGTAGCTATAATTTATAATCCAAATTGTGCTTTATCATTTAATCCAATATGCACACTTTTTGTACAGTAGAATGAGGAAACACAATCAGGATTATAGATTAGAAACACAAGGTAATAAGACCAAATCCAAATAAATAAATAAATTGTGATGTTACTTCATCAGACAAAATGATGATAAAATTGCTGAATTTACTCCGGGCTACATCTTACGAACAGAAACCGGAAGGATGT